CAATAAATATGAGCGAATTGCAAGCGGAAATGGCAGCGCGACGGTCGGTGCGTGCAATAAATGGCGTGCTGAGGAGGGAAGTGAAGGCCGAGCAAGTGGCTGGGAGAGAGGCGGAGAGCAGCGCGCGCCGTCAACGATTAAAAAGCATATAAATAATGAAAGCAATAACAAAAACTTACGCCAAAGGATGCAAGCAAACGACAACACAATGGAGCCAAAGCGAAAGCAACAACAAAAACAAAAGCAATAAAATGTGAAAAGAAAAATCGCAAGCGAAAAAAGCGATTGAAAACAGGCGAGGGGCGGGAAGTAAGCGCGTATGTGTGCGCGACTTCATTTAGGCATTTCGTGTGTCTTATTGCTGATTTTAATATGTGCTTACTTGCATGCAGACATACACACATGCATGTAATTGCACACATACATGTAAATATATATGTATATGCATGGCGCTGCTAGCTTGCCACGTTACAACTACCGGCTGCAGGTGGCGCGCCAACTGTATTTAATGTGCAAATAATTTTAAGAGCAAAAATAACAACAACTACAATGCCACTCTGCGCCACAGCAATGACAAAAGCAACAAAGTATCACTTGCAGAAACGCACACATGCACACCCACGCATATAAACACAAGGACACACACACATACACGCGAGGGTAAACATGCAAATAAATTATAAATTGTAAAGTGGCCGAAAGGATGACGAGCAGGCAGTGAACGCACGAGCGGGCGGCATATATGCCAAGGCGCTGTATGCGATTGCAGTTACCGCTATAGGGCAGAGCGGTGTTGGAGATGCGCGCGGCATGAAATATCGATTGGCCAACAGCAATGAAGTGGGGTAGAGTGAAATGAAATGAATTGAAATGGAATGGAATGGAATACTCAAATACGCATAAATAACAGCCGACCGCAGGCGACCGCAACAATGCGGGACAACAACAAGTGCAAAGTAATTTAGTAAGAACGTCGCTAGCTTCGTTTGTGTTGTGGCGTAAGTAATTCCACTTATTATTCGAGGCATAAATGCTTAGATGTAAGGTAGTTGTAAGACGTCTCAGCCAGGAATAGGCATTAAAGAAGTTTCTACTTATTTTTGAGAAATATTTTTCTCTAAATAACTTTTTTATATGAAGGTGTAGTGAGCTTTCGAATTAAATTAAGCAAAGAAAAGTACCTAAAACTTATACGAAGCAATATTTGGAGCACGAAACGCCGAAAGCTTTTGCCTCATATAAACTTAGCTACTGAACGGAAATTTAATATAATATCACTGCTGAAGTGATAAGCTAAAGCGAAGGAGAGCTCAGCAAAGCTGTAAGTGTACCTGGTCCAAAAACCGAAAATTTCGAAGTTATATTGAAGCATACTACTAATTTACCGTTAACAAATTTAATAACTGTTTATACGAGTATTCATAAATGCGTGTTTCAAGCACATATATGTTCTTTGAGCCCGCATACAGCCATACGCGCACAAGCGCAATTGCGCAGCAAGTAATTGTTTGAAGTGCCACTTGCCACAACGGAAATTTTGTGGCAGCTAACCACAATTATCTTCTCCACGCACATACACACGTGAACCAACATGGAGGAAAGACTGCGCAATACTTTTGGGCGGTTTTAAGCAGCACCACTTCCCGGTTTAAGCGCATACAGTATAAATAATTATATGCAGGTGTGAGTATGTGTGAAATATGTGGCACTATGTTAGTGCTTAGTTGTTTTGCAATCGTCCTGTGACAAACGCGCAAATTTTCTGGTTTTGTAGTGTGCAAAAATATATCTATGACATATATACATCCTTGTATACATAAAATGTTGGCATGTGTAGGAGGCAAGTATTTGAGAAAAATAAATTTACATAAATTTGTGGCAAATGGCCAAAAGGCCGAGATTTATTTGCGTTGCGCACATTTGCTGAAGCAGAAATTGAATTCTCAAGCGTGCGGCAGCAACAAAATTTAAATTAATTTAATTGATTGCAAAACGGTAGCTAAATAATGAAAAAACATTTTTTTTTTAATAATTTATAAAAAAATATATGTAAAAATAAGTTTAGCGCATCTCATAATAATAAAAGTTTGGCAGGCTGGTAAATAGTTTTGATATGAAGGAACAATAGAAAGCACAAGGATACCAAAGAATTTTTCAAAGGATGCAAAGGCAACACTCTGTCGAAAAATGGAAAATACAACAATAAATCTTCGGCCTAAATATAGCATATAGTACTTCGCTTTTCTGAGTTCGGAAAGTTATACATGTTCTTTACTGCTAACAGCTCTGTGACAAAATGAAAGTGACAAAATTTTTTAATAGTTTTTCAATGAAAATAAATCTATTAAAATTTAAAAAAAAACTACAAAAATATCTAATTAATTTTTCAATGAAACTTGATTTATTAAAATTTTAAAATAAGCAATAAAATTTTTTTATATTTTTTTCAGACCTATGAATATAAGAAAATGTTCAATTTGAAGATCGCTTTTAATCTCCAATAACAGCACACTTTGAAGCCCACTACCAGAGAACGTAAATGAATATTATAAATAGTAAATAAATATTCATTTACGTCCTCTGCCACTACAGCACAGTAAGCGCCTAATGGTATGCAATAATTATGTTTTGAACGTTTTCAACGAGACGCAAATAATAACTAAAGTACACTGAACACAATGAGAGCAGAAAATAAATTTAAAAAATTGTAACGAGAAGTTGAGCTGAGTTTATTTATGAGACTTAGCTTAAAAAAAACTATTTTTTTTAAACTTATTTTGCTTGAAAAAATTTTTTTTGTTTAAAAAAAACTTATAAATTTAACTTTCAGCTGCCATAATTTCATTAATTAACAATTGTATCTTACACCGGTGAACCAAAAAAAATTTTTTTTAAGTTGAAGTATTTTCTTGCAAAAAAACTTTTTTTCCTTGAAACAAAGGCTTTTTTATTTGCATAAAAAAAATTTATAAATTTATATATAAATTAAATTTCAGCTGCCATATACATATTGCTACCTAATAATTTTATAAATGGAAAATAATTTATTTTATTGGTCAATAAAAAAATTTTATTGGGTTTCTGTTTTCATGCTTACAATTAAAATTTTTTTCCTTAAAAACAGTTAAAAAAAAAAACCTTTTTTCCTTAAAAAAACCTTTTTTCCGCAAAAAACTTTTTTTTTTTGCTTAAAACAATCTTTTAAATTAACTTTCAACTGCCATTTATATAAAAGCACCAAATAATTGCAAAAATTAAAATGGATATATTACACAGGTCAACAAAAAAAAATTTGTTTTTCTATTTTCATGCTCAAATTCTGATTCTAGACATTGAAAAACGCTGGAATTTTTATTTTAAGCTATTAAAGTTTGCTTTTGTCTGTTACGAATGGGCCCGACTTGCCCAAACGAACATAAAAGAAATACGAAAAAAATTTTATGAAAGCAAGCTTTTTTGTCCTATTTTTGGTGTAGGAGAAACTGAACTTTAACATGCAGAAGTCGGGCCCAAAAATCATGTCGACCAGTGTTATAGACTAATATTTCATACAAATTTGTTAAAAAAATATATACGCAGTGTTTTTAAACATTTTTTGCTTACAATTATTTTTTGTCATGCTTTAAAACTTAACATCGATATGTAAAAAAATTAATAATTAACATATAAGCCGCTGAACAAACGCCTCCGGCGCGCATTTATTTCAGCTTAATTAAGCGTAGCAGCATGAAAAACGCTCAAAACACATAAAGTCAGTGACGCGAAAAGTTAAATTATAAAATACAATTTAAAGCCAGAAAACAAGGGTAATCGATTGGCGACAAGTAAACACATGTTCTATTAATTGTTGTTGTTGTTAATTTGTTTTTGGATTTTTTCACCACTTTCGGCGCACTGATTTATTGGAACGACGACATTCGCCAATTTAAATTGGCAAAAAAGCTAATTTTGCTTAATAGCTTGGTCATGTGAGGCTAATAATAAGCCGGAAGCTGTGAATATCATGGCGGAACAGCTGCCTGCATAGGCCGAGAACGAACAATTTGACATGGACAGCAGCAATGCCAGGCACAAAAAATTAATTATATTTCCCAATTTTATTTTGATTTTTTTTTTTGGTTTTATTTTCTCCTCATCACCTTTTTATGCTAGAATTTTTGTAGCGACGCATGTGTGTAGCACATTTTTTCATTTTACTTACCACAATTCACAGTTTACGTAAGTAGTATACACATTTTTTAATCGGTTTAAGAATCGTCTAGAGTAATGAGCACCGCTCACGTCACCTAAGGGTTAATGCGGTCAAAAACGGCCCAAAACAAGTGACTAAGACCACATAGACCAAGCCAAATAGTATCGCTAATGATGTGACAATTTTTTGTGCAATTTGAGCTTCGGCAAATGGCGCCCTAGCAGAGTAGCAAAAGTAGAAAATTGAAAGAGTTTTGATTTCTGCACAATATAAAGGCTGCTATAGCTTAGCAATCACTATAGAAGACAGTAGACTTTTTCTAGAAGCCAAGACAAGTCTGCTTCAGAGGACAAAATTTTCATGGCTGCATTCTCTAGATTTCCAACAGAGCATCACACTCAGACTTTTTTCCAGTTTGTTGGTGTAGAGTTAACTAGTCGAATCGCCGTTTTAGCTCATAAATTATATTACAAGGGGTTTATCTATTTCTAGCAGACATAACTGTAATTGCAACCGCTCAACTTCGCAGAAAAGCCGATTAAGGTATATTTGAATTAAAATTGATACGACGAGAGTTAGTTTTGGAGTTGTAATAGCAACGAAGAAAATAACTGTAGGGTTGCTTGGTTCATAAGTAGAGCGGAAGTAGTCAAGAGTATGTTTCAAAGCAATTTCAGCTTTTCAGCGCTTTTTTTACGCGCTAATAGAGCAGTGGTTCAGATTAAAGATTTGTATTTCAAATTAAAAAAAAAAGCTTTGAAATATAAATTTCAATATTTAATTTTATTAAAACCAATTTTGTACTCACCGTATTTCCTGCCTTAAACTTTGATCTCCTAATAAAAGTTCAGTTCTTCCTTTTGATATGCTACTATTGGGACTACTACTTCTTAACTGTTGTATTTGTTTATTATCGTATAAATTTGTTGTAATATTTAGCAAATCGTTGCTATTACTGCTGCCGCTGGCACTTTGTTTGTTGAAGTTGTTGCTATTTGCCGCATCGCCATCAAAGTGTCTGCCATCTTCGTTAAGTGTAGTTAGTAACTGCAAGAGAGACAGAGAGAGCGAGAGAGAGAGCGGAGGTATGAGTATATGTAAACAATTTATGAACTTCAAGGAAAACTAAAATGTTTCACAGAATCTAGAATTCCATAAAGTAAAAAATATATGAATAAATGCATTAATTAAGTAAATTAAAAGTTTAAATTGCAAACGAGAGAAGTGTTTTAACATTTTCAAATTACTTTTGAATCACAATTATAAACACAAAGGCATATTTTTACATATTTTTTTATAATAAATTCAACTTAAGTTAGTTAAAGTATACCTTAAAATGCGGCGAAAATTAAAAAGCACCACAAAACTTAAATAATTTTCATAATTAAAACACTTTCAATCAAAGTTCATGCGCTAACTTCAATTATCGTAAAAATTCAAGTCCATTGCCACACTTAACTCAGCGCTGAACTCAAATTGACCCCTTTTAACTCAGTTCTTCTGCACTTCTGCACTCCCCACTAGCGCTGCTGCTTCAAGTTTCATAAGCCACTTGTGACAGTTATTTGTCGTCAAACATCGCTTGAACTTAGCACCCTTCAAAGATGATTTCACATAATTCCAATCATGCCAATAAAAGCAGAGCTGTCAGACGCACAGCGCAACCCTTCATAAACTCCGACAAACCATCCTCCGCCCCACAAACACACGCCAGCTGCCACCCAGCACAGCTAATTAATCAGCAAGTACTTGGCGATGTGGCAAGGGTGACGTGCAGCATTCTCTGCTACTTTTCACAACTTTTTGGCAGCTCAATCGATATGTCGATTACTTGCATGTCAGTGTTAATCGCATTACTATGGATTTATTTACTTTAATTAGAAATTCCAATACAGCAAAGGAATGCGCTGTGACAGACATTAAAGCGTAATTGCTTGTTATAAGTGTTTAAAATTCTGTTGGCGGCATGGTGAATGGCTTTGTGCGCTTCCATACAGCCAAGGTGATATCGTAATTGATTAATTGCACAACATACGAAGTACATTATAACAGTATAGAAATGAATCTACATAAATTTTATATGCACACAAGTGCCAAATGCGGTTTTACAAATCTAATACTACAAGTAGTTAGTTATTTAGTGGAAGAAGGAAATTACTCGTTCAAAAAAATATCAAACAGTACACAAAACGTTATAAAAATAGTAATTATGCTACTAAACTTTGCTAAAATGCGCGTACATAAATTTTTGCGGAATATCGTAAGTATATATCGTAAGCGTTTAAATGTAAAAACAATAGGCAAGCCTTATATTGTAATTAAATTATGATCAAAATTACGAAAATAAATATGAAAAACCGCTTTTCAATAATATCGTAATTTTTTATAATATCGTAAATGACTAAAAACAAACTTTTAGGGCTAAATTAAGCATTTCTAGCTTGCCTTTTCAAAAATATGGCACATTTGTCTAATATCGTAAAAAAAAATTAATTTTTTTGCTTGCAATTAAACTGTTTACGAGCCGGAACACGCATTTAACTTTTGTTTGATATTTTTCTAACATCGTAAATAAAGTAATATCATAAAACAGACACAAAACTCTACAATAAAATTTCTTATGTTCTGCTGTTCACAAAACTATAAATCGAAATTGCGGTATTAGAAAGTAAAAATATTCAAGAAATATATATATTCCATAAAACGATCATAAACACGATTTCCGAACACAAAAATGAAAAAGTTCGCCGCAAACGCTGTAAAGCTATAACAAACGCAAGTTCAATAACTCAAAATCGGCGTAACGTAAACATAGCAACAACAACAAAGCATGGAACAATCTGTGGCACATCAACGCCAACATACGCCTTCTCCGCATCACTCACCTCTCGTCTCGGTGGTTGTATATTATTCGATATTAATAAATCACAATTACTACTAATATTACTACCGTACGGCCCGCTGCCCCCAGCCGCAGCCGCGCTCACTCCCGCGCCACCGCCAGCTGTGGGCTGTTCCACAATGACACCAGGCACCGCTTTATTATTGTTGTTGCTCAATACAGCGGCTGCGCCTAAATTTGCTGCTGTTACGTTGTTGTTGTTATACAACTGTTGTTGCTGCTGCTGCTTTTGCTGCTTGTCCGCTGCGGCCGCCGAGGCAAACGCCTGCTGCAGATGGCTGCTGGATATGGCTGTTGAGTACTCGGTTGTGGGGGTGGTGGAGCCAGCAGCTGCTGCTGCTGTGGCAACGGTGGCAGCTGTTGTGGCTGCTGTTGCTGTCGTTGATTTCGCAGTCGCCGCTGCCAGCGGTGCCTTTAGATGACCCACAGCGGTCGCGGCCAGCGGTGAGGTGGAGGTTTGTGCATCGACAAGTATTGTGCTGGGGATCTGCAGTGGGGGCGGGATGTGCGGGTGCGATTTCGTTTGCCGAAGCTGTTGCTGTTGCTGCTGCAACTGTTGCAGCTGTTGTCTTTGAAACTGGCTGGCTGCTGCCGCGGGCAGTACCACCGCCGATGTGGCTGGTGGCAATTGTGCGTGTTTGTTGTTGTATTTTATAAAATTAATGCTACAGTAGTTGCCGGCAACGCCGATTAGATCGTCGTCGTCGTCCTCCTCCTCAGCGACGGCCAAATGCTGCAAGCTGCTCGCAATGGTTGGCGTCTGCAGATTCTGCAGTTGCGCCAACTGCGCTACCTGTGCGGCCTGCTGCTGCTGGAACTGCAACGTGAGTGGCGGTGGTGGTTGTTGTTGAGCTTTACCTGCGATTGCTGGCTTTGTCGCTGACGGCTGCTGCTGCTGGTAGACTTTGCTGCTGCCGCTGTGATTGGCTAGTTTCGTTGCTGCTGCTGCGGCCGCTGCCGCTGCTGCTGTGGCGCTCACAATTGCTGCCGATGTCTGGTTGGCATTACGATCGGCGGCGCCTGTAGAGCTCTGTGGCGCCGACGCATGCACAATAGCCGAGGTTGTGGTGATGCCCGTCGCTGTCGCCAAGGCGGTTGGCGCAATCGTCGACGAGGTAATGAGACCGGCAGTTGCGGCGGTGGCGGTGGTGACAGTGGAGCTGCTGCACGTGATCTGTGTGCTGGTGAACGAGGTGACGTAAATGGGCGAGGCCTCGTTAAGGAAGCTCAGATCTTGTTTCTGTGTTGATTGCGACCCGCCTTTGGTCTGTTGCAGCTGAAAGGAAGCAAAAGAAGGAGAGTCAGTATAAAGGAGATGTTAAAATGTGCCCACAGCTGAAAATTTAATATTGAAGTCGAAAGAAAAATAAGAATTGGGATTAATTTCAAGCAACAGAAATTATGGTAAAATGCCGGCGCGCCTTCATTTTGCGTGCAGGCGTCACAATTTGCATCTCAAATTGATGGCGTAGAAATGTCTGGCTCATGGAATTTGCATAAATCAAATGAATTTGGTCGACGTTAAGCATCGACGACAAATAAAAAACAAAAAATTATAGATTCTTGTGAACTGAACCAGAAAATGTTAAAAAAAAACAAGAAAATACCCTTCACAAATACAAAAGATCCTTAGATGACTTCAATCGGTCAATTTGTATTGCAGCTATATGCTATAGTGAAACGATCTGCCTTTCTAGGACTAGGTAAACAGACCGACAGGCGTACGGACGGACATGGTTAAAGCGACTTATTTCATCACGCTGATGATTTATATATATACTTTATAGGGTCTCTGAGGTTTCCTTTGAGGTGTTACAAACATCGTGGCAAACTTGTAACCCTGTTCAGGCTATAAAAAGATATCATTCCGCTTCGGGTAGAAACCTCAAGATATACCAATAAATTTCACTCTCTCTTAGTGTCCAGTGTTGTTCCAGCCTCTGTAGCTCCAGATTCCGTAACGCGGTATTACATTTCCTCTTTGCGTCGTTGCAAAATGCTAACAGTTCGCAAAAGATACAAAGTTCTACCGAATATAGAGCCTCTCAACCGAGAGTGTTTCGAATAAGTTGAGGCAAGTGGGAGTATTGAGTTAGTGCGGATCGTAGTAAAGACTTCTTGAGTCCACAGTAACTGCAAAAATTCAGCTTCACATAGCAAGTTGGGAGCGCTCAAAGATAGACTCAAAGGCGGTTCGAAGGAGACTGTGAAATTAGTTTCAGGCCGGCAGAGAAAGACTGAAACCTTTTAACTTACTACACACATAATTATATATGATAGACACAAATGTAAGACAACTCTCACACCGTAATAAGCATTACCACAAACTGTTGTAATTTTCTCGTTGAACGCCGTAAAATGTATGTAAAACGCGCGCCACGCCCACCGTCTAGCCAAGGCGGGCAGCAACAGCCATAAACTTGCAGTCACGTCCAAAGACAAACGAGATAAAAATGCAAATCCAACGCAAAGTGGAAACTAGTGGAGCCGAATGGGGTTAAAGACATGCCGTGCAGTTCAAGCTGCCAGCGCCGCTGCCGGCAAATGGGTTGGACCCCAAGCAAAAATGTCGGCTTGCATAGCTGGCACACACCCACAGTGGGTAACAAATTCTCAGCGCTTATGGCACTTAATCAATGGCAATATGCTGCAAGTGACAGAGATTCAGCTGCAACAACAACAGCAACAGCGAAGAAAAATTGCAACGAGAATATGCTCAGCAGAAATGCGAAAATTATTGCGAAACAATTTAAAGCAGAGATCAAAGTAAGCTATTTTTTTATGAGACACTTGTGTGTGTGTGTGTGCTCAGCTATGGATGTGTATGTATGTATATATGCAAGCGTATATTGCTTATTTCAGTGTTATTAATTTAATTTGCCCAAACAATTAAGCCGTTATTGTCGACATACAATAATTACTGACAGCTATTACAACAACAAGCTTAGCAAACGCAACATAGCTGCGGCCAGCAACATAAACCAGCTGTATGTACATATGTATGCGCGTGCATGTGTATATGTATGTTAGCAATAGCACACGCACTAAGTCAAACATTTTAAGCGGATTACAAAAGTTGTATAAATGCCAATGCACACAAGCGCATATGCATGTGCCCTTATCTCCAATATGTTGTCAATGCTGTTGCTGTTGTTGTTGTTGTTTTTCAATTTATAAGTACGTTTGTTGTCAGCTACAGTGTGGCTGTGCATGGAAAATTTGTTGTGACAGCGTATGCGATTTTCATAATTAATAGGAGTGACACATGGCAACAACACGCACAAAAATGATAACTACAACAACAAGAACAAATGATAACTACAACAACACCAGCAACATATGTGTTGATAAGCATGAAAAGTGTAAAAGTAAAAGCGGCGACAAGCTACAAAAAATTGGCTTCAGCAAATTGCTTGAATAACATTTTGACAGCTGTCAAACGCAGACGCAGGCAATGCACACATTTGCTATGCACACATTTGCAATGCTATGCGCTGCAAAACGTAGTGTGAATTGCCTTAACAGAAGATGAATGAATATGCCGGCATGAAATATGCTTTTTTTTTTAGAAAAATGGTCTAGACCGCAACTGGTTACTTTTGAACTACAACAATATTTACCCAAAGAGGTTGTGATTAAATGCGTTTTTTAACCAAAAAAAAAATTAAAAGGAGCGCTATATAAAGACTGCCAAAAAAAATTTTTTCAGAAAAATGGTCTAGACCGCAACTGGTTACTTTTGAACTACAACAAAATTTACCCAAAGAGGTTGTGATGAAATGCATTTTTTAACCAAAAAAAAATTAAAAGGAGCGCTATATAAAGACTTTAATATGTAAACACGCCATAAAAATACTAATTGTTGAACTAAACTTTGATTTAAAAATAGATTTTTTTAGAATATCGTAAATATATAAGGTAAGTGTTAAAGGTAAAAATAAGTGCTTTATATATATACAATATAAAAAGCACGAAAACATGTAAAAACACAACTTTTTAGCAATATCGTAATTTTTTATAATATCGTAAATTATTAAAAATCAATTTTTGCATAAAACTAAACATGTTTGCGAAAATACGACATATTTCACTACTATCGTAAATATATGACGACGATTCTCGCTTGCAATTACTTGAACTAGTTCGATTTACTCAAAAATTTACGCTAATGAAGTTGTAATAAATAGCGCTTTTTAACGGAAAAAAGTTCAACTAACGAAATACATATAATCGTAAACTTGCGACTGTTACTAATTTCACCACTGCTAGTTTTAGTAAAAGTTGTTCAAAAATTCAAACTGTACGGACTTGAACAGTACTGCTAATATTTAAGCTAACATAAAAACCAAAAAAAAATGTTTATGCTTATGGCAGTGTTTTAAAAATATATATAAATGTAACTAGTTTTAAACTAAGCCGTTTTTCACCACATTGTTATTGGTTTGAGTGTAGAAAGACGCAGCCACAACACATAGAATTAAATTTCACACTGAATATGTTCACTTGCTTCCAGCCGAGCCAAGTTTCCTGCAGAGCTTGTACGCGCATTGCTTCGTATCACTTTCACTTGCTGTTCGGCCGCGTCATAAAATCTATGAATTTTTAATATTGTCTGTTGTTCGCGCTTTGTAGCGCATTGCAATGCAGGCCGTGTCACGCCACGCCAATAAAGCAACCACAACGACAGTAGCAACAATGGTGTAGTGCCCACATGTTTGGCGTATGCGGCGACAAAGCCAGTCAAGCCATACCCGAACCAATCAGCAAATGCACAGCCAGGCAGTCAGTCAATAAACGCGGTATTTGGTCAGCTGTGGCGCTTTGTCTGACTCATTCATACCATTCTCGACGCTAAGCGCTGGGACCGCCGCAGTTGTTGTTCGCTAATTGCCGCACCATTGGTCGGCTCTGACTAACTAACTGGCTGGCTTGCTGCAAAGCTATTGAAATTCTATTTTCTGTTAGTTTTTTGCTTTTTCCTTTGTTTTTGTCAGCATTGTTGTGGCCGCTTTCATTGTTTCGAGCTTTTGAATTTCAAATTTATTTGCACCATTAATTTGCAAAGTTCGTGGGCAGTGCGATATGCGCTGGTAAAAAAAACGAACACGATTATTTACTGTTACACAAAGCCACTCTGCGTTTTTAATTGAAACGAATCGACTTTTGCTTTGTGGTACAAAAATACATTGGCGATATTGAGAAGAGCAACTTTGAAAACATAATCTACACTACTAGTGCACATAAGCCCCGGTATGTTTACGAAAAGCTGTCAAATAGCTCACAAAAATTTACTTCAAGCGCGACGGCAAACGGAAATCGCCATGGAATCCGCAAAGCTCAATGAGACGTTTTCAAAACGACTTGAGCAGTTCATGCACTATGGAGTATACAAAGAGCAGAATTGGCAACTCAAGATGCATACTGAACCCATCCACCACCCAACTTCAGACTTTCGCCCAACTTTCAAAACACGTCGGCTTAGCTATAAGTTTTTTAGAGAGCTCTTAAACATATACCACGTGGGACTTCATTGGGTGCGCCAAAAACACTGATAATTAAGCATGTCGGAGAGTAGTATACAACACTACATTGCTGAGATTCTCTCGACTCAATATCGAAGCTGTGCTAGAAATGCGCACATATACAGTTATGCTAACAAAATTATCTCAAAAACTTAAAACTTTTTTGTTCGCTTTACTTTTTCTTTATTACGTCGAGCTTTGGCGCTTTTTACATTCATAATAATTGCTTTTAAGCATTGTTTAAATATTTTCAATTCTCCTCTTTGTGCTATTCAGCGGCCGCAACATTTTAAATTACAATTTGGAGTTCAGTGATCTGGGTCGCGAGTGAATGTCGGTCGAAGTTCAATGTGTTTTAATTGTTAATTTGCGATAAACCAATTATTAGCGTCTACTTTAGTACCGAAAAACTTTTGTGTTAGTCAAGTTTAAATTCGTATAATAGAAGCAGTAGTGTAGTTGCATTGAGTGACTCTTCTTTATGAGCTGAGATTAGAGCTTCGAGACTAACGGCGTGTTGGAGAAGTGTCACGAACCCTTTTCGTGCTGCTCAGGTAAACAAACATATGTGGACTCTCCACCGAGTTTTGTTGTTGTACTTTGTACAGAAACAACTACGGAAACTATGGGGCTTCCAGAGCATACCAAACTTCCGATCAAACACACATCCCCATACAGGAAAGAAGAAATAGTCACTATGTTTCAAAGCGCATAAATACCCAAATAATCTGCTTTAACTGCTAAGTAAATCATCGGGAGTTGTGAGCTTCGTGAGCAATATGCTCAAAACTAGTATTTTCTTTTATCTTATTTTGATAAGAGTTTGAAAAATCAAATAAAAAAGAGGGACTCTCAGCTTTAGACCCCACAATTTCAAAACATAGCTTTATGATCTTCCTGCGAAAGACATTATTGCAGTTCGCAAGTGTTGCGAATATTTTTCAATATTGAAAGTAGAGCTTTCTCTCATCCTTTCTACATAATTTTTCGACCAAAGCCCAGCGCTGCACTAAGTTGCTTGTTTTGAGTTGCAGTTATTTCCCTTCTTACTTTCAGCACTTCATTTCACGCTAATTATATTTCAGTCTTTCTTTTTTAGTAAACTCTGCATACTCTTTAGTATTTCATCTATAGCCGCTCACTTTGGTTATGTAAATATTTTTCAGCGTTCTCTTTTGTTGTTGTTGCCCTTAACCGTTGTTTCAAATGTTGCGTTAATAAATTTTTTCTCCTTATAACCAACGAAATATCGCATCATTTCTGCTTTGCTTATCCCCGTGGACCGCGGTCTGTGGCTAACACAGCTTCATTTAATATAGTTGTTGTTGTGCTGGCATACGCGTGCTGTTAAATGTGCGCAGCTAGTAAAAAATGTATCTAACAGCTACTACAGAGCATAATAATAAAGTTTCTGCTGCGCGCACCCACTCCTTCGTCGACGCCGTCAACGCGCAGATACTTGACGCGCGCGTACGTGCCTTACTGCCTTCCTGCTCCGCTACGCTTATCTCTTGCTACTCAAGCAGTTTGCTGGCGCAAATTACTCTCCCACACTGCGCGCCTGCCACGCGTCAGCTTCGTTTTGTGGATTTTTAAAAAGTTTAAGCGCATAAAAAGTTGGCGCTTGCCCATTTAGCCGCGTCCAAGTGTTGCTCTAACAATTTACTGTTACTATACTCTCAGACATATACACACACGCAAACATATTATTTAATTTTTCCCGTTACTTGTTATTATGCGGCACTTTGATTGTTGCTTTTGTTGTATGCTGCTGACTTTGAAGTGTTTGCGCGCCGGCAGCGGGGCAGAATGTGGCATTTACACGCTTCACACGAGCGCTAAGCAACAGACAACAAGCAGCTGGCCGTAAGTGACGTGGAGTAGGTAGTAAAATAGTAGCACTCGAACAAATGAGCTAAAGGATAGACCGCAGCGTAAACGACTCAATAAAGTCGACGCACTTCAACTCACAAATGACTCGCTGGCAGCAATCTGGGCGGGTGTCGTGTGACCAGTTGATGGGCAACAGATTCCGCGGAAGTGCGCTTAATGACTCAGCCAGCGTGTGCATGTGTGCAATGAAAACATAAAAGCTCAACAATTTTTACAACTTTTTTGGCGCAACAACAACTGCTGGAAGAAATGTGCAGCATGTGTTCACCGTTGTAACTAAGTGCTGCTGTGAAGGAGCGAACAGAGTGAACATGCGCTTATTTAAGGATATATGTGAAATATGCGCGTGTGGAAGCACAACTTCAGTTATTTTTTAACGCTTGTAAAATTTATGTTTTAATTAAAATATTTCTACAAAAATTTTAGTTCAACATTTTTTTGCGCTGACAAGTTTTGTTGTGAATTACTGTATATTTTTCTATATAATATACATTTTTATAGTAAAAAAATCATCATCACTCTTATTGGAATTTCTGAAATTGCTGTATATTTCGAACTAGTCCGGTATACACTAGTTAACAGCAAATTATAGATCAGATCTACTTCGTAGTGTTTTTCAACAGTCGTAGGAATTAAAATCCAGGAAACCTTAGTGGATGTCGCACTTTAATAAATAATTATAACGCAAATCATTGTTTGACTCACCGTTTTCGACACTTCCGTTATATCCACCGGTGTAACCCGATTCAGCGCCGCCAAACGTTTCAGACGCTCACGCGCATGCTCCTCGACAGCGATAACGAAGGCCTCCTGCACCGAATTGCCAATGTCCCAAGCTGAAAGAATAATGAAACGATGGGTATTTTAAATAACTGTATATTACATATACATATACAGAATTAATATAAAAATAACACGTCATATCCCTAAAACGATCCTACAACTATTGCCACATATCAATCGCATAATCGAAAAAAAATATTACTGCAACTCTCACCTGCCTACTAACGCCAAATATGCGGCCTGTCACACTTTCCTCAATAGAAATCGTTACGAGTTCCACGCCGCAGCGCTACGAACGGAAATTCCCAAGACACTCACTCGCGCGACCGGCAAAAGCCAGCCAATGTCCGGTGCTGCAAGCGTCGACAACTTTCTCATTGCAAATTCTAGCATAGCATTACTCACAACCTGACGCATGTGGCATGTTGCAACAGCGCAACTATCGGCGCCCCATTTGCCTACTTTTGCCGCGTGTTGTGGCAATTTAAAGCGCAACGAAATTGGTTTTCCTACGCATGCCTCACATGCAACATGCGAACGTACGCTTCAATGTGCGCCACATTAAATTGTGTCGATTGCAGGAAATTGTGTCAGCCAACCAGGGTGGCAGGCAGACAGCCAAGCAATCTGCTGGTCCACCCGTCAGGCAGGCCAAACGACCGAACGGCCAGACTTAATTGCGGCGACTTGACTGGCGTATTGAGCGCAACAACGATTGATGACTGTGGGGCTGGCGGAGCAAGGTGACGCGGCTGCTGTACGTTAGAGCGGTGGCATGCCGCAGACATAAATTGCCAGCTGCAGCTGTCGCGCATACCAGGTTTGGACAGTTTTACTGCTTGTGGCCAGTAATTTGCAGTAGTTGCCAGTCGCCGGGAAATTCAGTGCACAGCTGCCACTGAGACAATTAAATGTCACTTGGCATTTGCCACTGATACACACCATAGCGTATAGGAATGTGGCAGGTTGGTTAACAAGCGCGAAAAAGATTCAAAGTGAAATGTAAGACACTTGCAGAGTTCCAGATAAGCCGGTAATGAAACTCTAAACTATATAACACACAAATTAAGCTCCAATTTGAAGAAAATTAAAGGAAATGGGGCTCTGTCACACTTTTCGCTGTTTTACAGCATCATCCTAAATGTATACAAAAGATTCTAGCGTATGTGCGTGTAGCAGTAATAGCTAATACAAAAACGTTGCCTACATACAGGCGCCCATAACGCAGGCTTAGCGCGGACGCATACCTGAAACGTTCTTCATGCGCTTTTCAAGTGATTCTGGGCGGAAAATTATATAATGTTACATGTATTACAATAATATTTATGCAAATATATTTTCATTTATAGCGAAGTCCAAAAATAAACATCTACGCCAATTGGCAAATGTGTTGTAATCGTATTGTTGTGGTATGGAATTGTGGCAATTTGGCTACAATGGTTTTTATTATTCAACAACAATTCAATTACAGCACTTTTAATGGAATTAACTTCGACATCTCATCCACTCAGCGCTATTTCGTACATTGATACGGGTATAACACTAAATCGCAATTAACTAATATTGATTTTCACTCGGAATGCCGCGCTATGTTTCGAGGCCGCCATAAAGCATATTCACAGCGCACGGCAGCGCTGCTAAGCTACTGAACTACTCACTTAAACAATTGAACAATATTTTTTCAACCCCTTGCTCTATCGAATAAACAAGTCGAGCAGCGAGCGCCGCGTTGTTGTTATTCATTAGCGTAATCTGCTCAAAAATCGCGACCACATAAAACACTTTTAATTAACACCGATTCGCGTACAACATATACAAGTAATGTAATGAAACTGTATTTATGGCAATAACAACAAAATATACATAAAAAACAACAACCGAAGAGTTAGCAACACGTGTTGGAGAGCAAATTCGTGGTGGAAACGAATAACAATGGCAAACATGTGGCGCTGATTCAGATATGATGGGAAAAATCCGCTGATGTGGCAAGAAAGAAAAATTCAGCGACAAAATTTTTGAAAAAAGATTAGGTAATATATATATAAAATATTACGGAAAAAAGTGTACTTTAAGAAGTATACGAAAACTAAGAAAATTAAACTAAAGCAAAACGTAAAAAAAAATTTAAAAAAAAATAAATAAATAAATAAAAAAATAATAATAATTATAAGGATAATTATGATTTAAATAAAAACAATTTGCAAAAGTAGAGAGAACCTTCTTCGCTTTTAATTGGAAATTTAAACATAAAAATTCTTTTTGATTTTTTAATAAATTTTTAAAAAAAATTTTTGATATTTTTTTATTTTAATATTTTTTGTAAAATTTTATATATTTTTTAAAATTAAATTTTTTGAATGTTTAAAAAAAATTTTTTTTAATAAAATTATTTTATAAATTTTTTTTTTTCTTTTTCTTTTTGATTTTATTTTTTAATTCACTTTTAATTTTTTTTTTAATTTTAATTTTCCAAATTTTTAATTTTTTAATTTTTTTAATTTTTTTTTGTTTGATTTTTTTTTTTTGTTATTTTAAAATAATCACATACTCTACCAAAAATATGAAAAAAATAAATTGCATGTTCGGAAATTTTTTGTTGAAAACCAAAAAAAATTCAAAGCCTGGTGCACTGTATATTAAACCATTGTTGTAGCGTTGCAATGTTGTTGTCGTTATTAATTTATTATTTTGCATTGCTTGCTGCTTGCTGTTTATTGTTCGTTATTTTTTATTAAATTTTTTTTTTGTTGCCAGCAGTCGTGCGGAAATTAATAGAAAAATTGCTCGCCACTCGCATATTTCAAGGTGAAATGTTAGTAATTCATAGTAAACGCTCGCAAATCGCTCGAGTGCGCTAAAAAACCACACAGCCAATATGCAGTGGAGTTGTATGTTGACTCAAGACTAGTTTGCATTGCTGACGCTGTTGTTGTTGCACGCGCCGTTAGCAATTGCAATGCAGTCAGGCAGCTGCCCAACATAGCTTTCCAACATTTTCAAGCGCTTTTTACAATTTTCTCCATTTTCATGTAATTCCAACTATTTCTACAATCTCATTGATTTTTTTTCGCTTCCCGCTCCGCGTACAGCTTGCGCACCTCCTGCGGCTGCTGCTCCGAAATTAATTGAGGTCTGCGCGAAAGTCGACCGCTCGTACCGATTTGCGGGAAAATTGTGGGAAACTCGCCAACCAAGGCAAGTAGCTCAATGGCAAGGAAACTGCTCGCTACCCTTCCACCTGCTGGCGGCTGTGCTGCCGCAAAAAACTACGCTCGAATCCATTGCAGGCAATGAGCGTTTCGTGGCAGTGCCATAAATTCAACTTGCAACATTCTAACACAGATGCGAAATCCAGATAAGAAATGTGAGTACAAGCAGATACTTGCGCGCAGATAATGCCAGTAATGGCAAGTAGTTACGTGCAACAAATGTCGGAGTTAGAAAATAATTCAAAGCTAATGCAGCTGCAAATAGTTTAGTTGTTGGCGACAACAACAAAAACGTCAAATATATAAGCGAAAACTTCAGCCATTGAATGTGGCAACTGGCTGCTGACGGCCGTTGGTGGTTCGTGGCAAGCCGGTGCATAGTTGCAGGTGAGTTGCGAAATCAGTCGCCTACTTTGTATAAAAAATAATGAATTATTGGTTTGGCAGTAACACTGAAATGGAAATCAGGTCGCGATTACGGGTTTTATATGCGATGAAGCTCGATGCGAAGTCCGAGCTCGGTGCCAGACACACTTTCTAGCAAAGAAACTCTGATATTTTTGGAAATACTTGGTGCCAATAGAAGTGCGCTAAAAACACAGAGTAACTGAGAGACTACTGCCAGCATTTGCTATGAGGCAACGGCAGCACACAACGTTTATAAGCCAGAGAGCAGGGATTCAGACGACGCTTAACTGCGCTCAACTCAGCGCTAGTTACGCAGTACGTTGACTGCGGCGCCGCCTGGCAAGAGACAACCATACAGTTCGATTAGATGACACAATGAAGAATGAGAAGATATTTCTCAGCACTACGGCAAAACAGCGTACTCGGTTAACTAAAAGAGTGTCAGTCGCTGGTAGGAATTACTTTAAAAGTCTTAGCTCAGTAGGCCAAAGACCGACGCATAGAAAAAATTGCTTCCAGCAATGACCAAGTGAAGTGACTTCGAGAGTTACTACACCGGCTTTCAACGACGAGAAATGGAGCTTAAATTCAAATGAAATGCCAGCTTTTGGGCAACTAAGCGGCTGCGACGACTCGACGCGTTCCCACGACAGTCGGGTTTAAGTAAGAGAAACGGACACGGCTTGTTATGCGGTCAAGCACGGTCAACTCGGCATCATTACTCGAAATCACTTCAAGAATGTTTTTTGTTGCTACAACAACAACAACAACTCTTCGCAGCGTCCTGCGTATTGCAATCATTTTTAGATAGCTCTACGAAATAAACTATTAAGACAATTATTGAAAGTATATAAAACTGTATGCATTCGCATAGAAAATGCAATTACATTTCAGAAAAAAGCCTTTGAATATTCATAAAGCACTTAATGTAAGCTCCATAACATTTCAATGCAGCTGTTTGATATTACAACTTATGTAACACGACATTGTTCTAAATTCCTTTACAAACTTTTGCTCTGACTGCTTGCTCGTCGCACCGCATTTTCAGTCGGACGAACCTTATACTCTTATAGCAGTTTCTTCATTCCACAGAGCTTACAACGCAGCGCACCGACAAGGCAACACAGCTCTGCCGTAGCCATTTGTTGGCCAACTCAGCGCCACCTCCACTTCACTCAGCATTCACTCAGCATTTCTGCCGCATACACTTAACACTCAATTATTTCCTACCCTTTGCAATTTGTGCTATCAATAATTCAATCAACTGAGGAAGCGTTGGCAGTGCTGCAATGAAAACGCGACAACTGCAGCTGACAAGCCATTCCTTGGCTGTTGTTCTAGCAGCTGCTGTTAGAGTGGCGCTGGAAGTACGTATACAGCAGACGCTTGATAAAAATGTTGAAGCAGATGAAAGTCAGCGGGGAGAACGCTGCTAC